ATCTCAATTTAAAACCCATCTAAGTAAGCTATAAGTTTACTTCTTTTAATTTTTTTTTTTTTTTTTGAGAATGACAATGATTAAAGGTGTTAATGTGTTAAAAGTGTTAGTGTGTAGGAAGGATATTGAACACGGGACATGGGATGCAAATCACGGTCTGCCCTAAAGGGTAGCAAGTGGCCATTACGCCACGAACGTGGAATGCTATTTCTTTTAATTTGAAATTTAAAATATGATAAATTAAAATATAAAGTAACTCAAATTGAATCTATTTGATTTGATCTATTTACTAGGTATAAGGAATGGTGTTTGGTTTAGGGCTAAACTGGAAGATGTTTTGGACCATTGAAAGTAAAACCTGTGTAAGTAAATTATAAGTTTACTTCTTTTAATTTGAATTTTAAAATGCGATAAATTAATATATAAAGTAATTCAACTTGAATCTATTTAATTTGATCTATTTACTAGTTGTAAGGAATGGTGTTTGGTTTAGGGCTAAATTGGAAGATGTTTTGGACCATTGGAAGTAGAGTAATTAGGCTTGTCGAGTCTCCCAAATATACATAGAGGATAGTTCTTGAGTTCATGAGGATGTGGAGCAGTTCGAAGGGGTCAGTTAACTTGGTTAGCCTAACAAAGGTGGCTTTAATTTGGTGAGCCATTAGGCTTTCCAACTGTAAGCTTCTAGGCAAGACATTGAGGATAATAATGAAGATCAATTTCTATCTTGTGAGGCTAATCCTGTTAGCAACTCACAGCTAATTGAGGTTCCAATGCACGGAGTTGGTGGGAAAAAAGAAGTCTCAGATGGAAAGGGAAAGCTAAAGAGTAATGGGAGAGGGAGGTGGAAAAGAATTAATACGGCATTGGAAGTTTCCCTAAAAAGGAAAAAAGACAGTAAAGGGGAAAAGGAAAATATTGATTTATTAAGGATATTTAAAATTTTTTGTTATTGTTCTTGATATTTTAACTATTAAAATGTCTTGATTTTTCATAATTTTTATTCTTATATTCATCCTTTATCTTAACGTGAACAACAATATGAAACATACTTACTCATCAATCTATTTAGGCATAAAGTTGATTCGGTTATTTAGGTTCACTCCTATTTAGACTTGACACAAATTTGAGGTGAGAGCAGTAATAATAATAATAAATAAATATTAAGCGCTTACCTAACAAGGCCTAGGTTGAGGATACCCCAAGAAGTATTGGGCCAAGCCTTTTCCTTAGCCTTCATCAACAGAACCCTAGAAGCAACCCATCCACCCCGAGACATCCTCTTGTCCATGGGCTATCCCACTCCAGCAGAAGGGTCAGCTCGATCTCACCCCTTCCTTGGGACAGAAGGAGCTGACCCAAAACTAAATATGGTTCACCCACAAATGGGTTCTTCTCAATAGAGCCCAAAAGCTACTCCCCTGATTTCCCTGTCCCCTTACGGATTATATTGCTCGCACCCCGCTTCCCAATGCACGCTTCTATTTGGTCCTTGGCGTCAACCACCTTGGCGCAGCCGTCGAACAGCGGCGGCAACGAGTAATATCCTCATCTCTGCCCTTTACAACTTCCTTTCTTCTAGTCCTCTTCCTCTCCTCCACATAGATCTCCTCCTCCTCCCTCACAATGATAATGTAAATTGCACCCATCTTTGCTGCCGAATTCAACTACAACCCCGGTTTTCCGTCCCCAGGCCACAGAACAGAGTAGCTGTCCCAGGAAAACTCAAACCTGCCGTCGTAATTGTCAAATAACTGATCCTGGAAATCCGAAAAACTGATCGCTAAAATCCGACATTGTCATCAAAAGAAAAGCTGCCAAAATCCTCCTTGAAATGACAATGTCTACACCGGTTCTTATATGCTTCACTATGGTACCGTTTTCAGTAATCAGAGTACTCAATTTCTTCCTCCAAATTTCGTCTCTATTGAACAAACCCTTTTCCTTCGGATTCTTTACTGAAATCTCCTATTGCTTGAGGTGTTGAATGAATTCGAAATCGGAGTACTTGAACAAGAGATCATCGTGGATGATCGGCCGTTTCGGAAGGACACAGAAAAGGTAAATCAGACGCTCTGTGTCCTCGCTAACGTGTCGGCGAACCACATCGCGCCCTGTGTTTGGATCGAATATGGCAAGATTGACGTAGGAGTGGGAGTAAGCAGAATGACATAGGCCGCAAAGACATAGGGGCTCCAGTGCTTTCCAGATCTTGAGAACCTGATGTGTGTCCATCAAATGCTCGAGAAAGTTGCTGTGCCTGTGTCAGCATTTTCCGGCTCCTACCGAACCCAGGATGGCCACCTTAACAGGCAAGTTCTTGTCCACGGCCTCGAGCTCGCCACGGAGGAAAGGATGTATCGATGCCAAGAGTGTTTGAAGGTATTGGGATGGCATGGATGGGATGGAGAAGGGCGTTGTAATGATCGCTTGGAGCAGCTAACAGAGCAATGGAACGTGGCAAGGCAGAAACGGCAAGTGGAAGAAAAGAAGATGTTAAGGGTATAATAGTAATTTTACAGCGTCATTGAGTTTGGTGCATTTCCATCGTAAAAAGGTTAAGCCAACTGTAGTCCTCATACTTTGTGAAAATGTTCATTAGCGTCCCTATACTAAGGAAATGTTCAATATCATCCCTCAACTTTCTTTACAGTATAAATGTCATCCCTTTACTACACCAGTTTTGTTCAATGTCACCCTTAATTGGATGCCATCCACATTTCTGTTAACTTTGACCATTAATTGCCCAATAGTCAAACATTCATTTTTTGTTTATTAATTTTTTGTCCACCTAATAGGACCAATGGGATCAATTCTTTCTTTTTTCTTTTTTCTTTTTTTTTTTAGTTCTATATTATTCTTTTGGACTTTAACCCATTACTAGAATAGTTAACAAGTTACAACGGATATGGTATGGAAACAAATGATAATAGAGAAATTGGTGCCAAAAAAAAAAGAAAAAAGAATGGGCTAAAATAGGCTACCAAAATAATTTTGTTCCCACTTGGTGTGTCCATCACGTGAGTGGATTTTTCAACCCACTTTCTCCTTATTTCCCAAATTATGAAAAACAATCACAGAGTACACAATATAGGAATCTCTAAAAAGGTGAAGAAATTGTGCTTAGAGCAAGTATATTATTGAGGTTTGTGAAAACTTTCAAAAAAGGAATAATCAACTACTTTAAGAGCAAATAAGCAATACTGAAGAAAAAAACATTTTCAAGTTCAACAACTTGAAGCAACTATCTCATGATCCCTTAGCTTTTTTCCCATTTCAGGGTTCAAAATTTTCAAATCGTTAATCTATCTATGCAAGTCTAGATTCTCTTTTTTCAATTGCAAGACCCCCCATTCATTGGTGTTTGCTCCTCATCCTAGCAACATATTATCCAGGATTTATCTTGACGATCAAAGTCATCATCAAACAAAATGAAAAATTTACAACCATATTTCTATTCACATGGATCTTGACATTGTGCTCCATATGTATGGCCAAGGTCTCATCATCCTTCTACAACAATATAAAACAAAAACTAATTGTATCAAAATCCAAATTAACCATAATATCATAATAAATATCACCAACCAAAAATCAATAAAAATATCCACAATTAACAATAGCTATCCCTAACCCAAAATCAACAAGAAAATCCATAATTAATAACAAATATTACCAACCGAAAATCAATAAAAAAAGCCATGGTTAATAGTAGCTATCACCAACCCAAAATCAACAATATAATCAACAATATAATCAACAATATAATTAACAATCAAACCTTACTGTAAAATTTGGACATCTCTAAAACCATTGGCCATAGTTCAACCGAGTTAAACTAGTTCTCTTAACTAGTTGAAGACCACATTTGCAAAAAATCATGAACTCATCAAATTGGGATGGAGAACCAAATTGAAAATGTGGTTGATGGGAATTGCTTGAATACATTATGTGTTGGGTGATTTTGTGATTAGGTGAAGAAAAGCAAGATGATTTTAGGTGATTTTGGGCAATTTTGGATTCAATAATTTTGGGCAATTTTGGACAATTTTGGGCATAGGGTTTTGTGGATTAGGGTAAAGATGGTGAAGAGAGAAAGAAAGATGGAAAGTTCATGAAGAAGGATGAAGAAGAGGAGCAACTAATTAGGTGAAGATGGTCAAGAAGAAGAGTAAGGGTTTTTGTTGTTGATGGTTTAGGAAAAATGGTTGTGAGGAAGAAAGAGAAAGAAATAAAAATAAGAGTAAAAAAAAAAAAAGAATTGGTCCCATTGGTCTTATTAGGTAGACAAAAATTTAATAAACAAAAATTAAACATTTGACCGTTGGGTAATTAACGGTCAAAGTTAACAAAAATGTGCATGGCATCTAATTAAGGGTAACATTGAACAAAAAAAGTGTAGTAGAGGGTTGACATTTATATTGCAAGGAAAGTAGAGGGATGACATTGAATATTTCTTTAATAGAGGGATAGTAATGAACATTTTTACAAAGTATGAGGACTATAGTTGGCTTTAATTCTTTTGAGGAAAGACAAGTTTTCTAGCCGTTTATTCCAAATGGTGTTATTTATTTATTTATTTAAATTAAAGGTTTAAGAATAATATTTATATTTATTTAAAATATTTAAAAAATAAATAAAATAAGTAGAGATTTTTTTATTGGATGATTAATTAAAATAAATATATAATAATAAGGTTAAAATAAAAAAATATTTGTTTATTTTTTTAAATGATAATTTATGGGTTTTATTTTATCCCATTTTTTTTTTTTTCGTTTTTTTTTTTTTTTTTTTTTTTTTGTGAGATTTTAATTACTAGCCCTTTTTTATTTGGTAAAAAAAATGTGTGACCTTTTATATTTTTTATCTTAGTTCAACTAACAAGAGGCCTTTAATGAAAAATAGCCTTGGTCTTTAACAAAAAAAAAAGATTGTAAGAAAGGGTGAAGCAAACCTAAAAGAAAATGATATTCTCAACAAACTTGAAAATAGCCACAGTCCAAGAAAATCAAACAAGAGGATGAATTGATCTTAATTCATTAGATTTCATATAATTCAAGTGAGTTTGTGTATCTTATTAGAATTAATCGAAGCTAAATCTTTCTATATATTAGTTTAAGTTCAATTGAGATAGATTAGAGGAAATCTCTTTGCAGAAACAATCTATGGCCTGCTTTTTAAATTCATTTGAATAACTATATCTTTGGTCATATTTTCTTTGGTGGTGTTTAATTAGAATTATATTTTCTTGTGACAATATGTTAGTTACCATAGAACTATATTATTAGGTGAGTTTGTGTCACTTAGCGGAATTAATCAAAGCTAAATCTTCCTATTAGATGAAGTCCAATTGGGATGGATTAGAGAAATCTCTCTAGGGCAATATTAGAAATTTTGGTATGGGAATTTAGGTGTGGTTTGTTGAGTTGAGGTATAAATATATATAGTTAATAATAGTTAGGAGATGAATTAAGCATAACAGTTCAAGGCATTCTAAAAAAATTGAATTATTGCAAAAAATAAAGTAGCTAGAACTAGAAGGTAGTAAAATCATATGAGTTGGCGAAGTGCCACTTAGGTGTGTGGCTTAATTATATGTGATTTAGGAAGATGTTATCCTTAATTCTAAAGTAAGCAATTTAGTAGGAATCATCAAATTACTCATGTATAAAAATATAGATACTTGTGAGAATGATATATGTTATGTTAGAATATACTAAATAGATATGTGTGTGGGTGTGATGGTATGTTTGAGATCATCAAATTGTTTACAGATGATACTATTTCCCTTTAGATCAAAGTTAGGAAATCATTAGATCAAATTATATGCTTTGTAGTGAGGAAAGAATTGCCATTTAAGTTGCATCAACTGCATGTAGGATTGTGCAACCTCTCATCCTTAGTTCGTTGCATCAACACAATCTCTTGATCATCAATTTACATGTTGCTCATTGACATAGTGACTTATAATTGAAATGTAGGACTATGGTAATTGAGATCATTAAGTTGTTTATAGATAATATTTTTTTTTGTTGTGTTGTTTACATATCATTAATTTAATCTTTCCCAACGCTGAGAATATGATTTCAAGTCCCTTTTTATATACAAATTTTACAATGTATATATGTTGGATGCAAGGTGACAACTAAATGAGTTTAAGTACCTTAAAGGGGTTGAGGATTCTCTGCAGTTCGCTTTTGCCCGCGCCAAAGAAGATATCATCCCATGTCCTTGCACACATTGCAACAATGGTCATCTAGAGATAAGTAAAAAACAAGTTAGAGCTCACTTGACAATGAGGGGAATGATTAAAGGATATACACATTGGTTATATCATGGGAAGTTCACTACTAGAGAGAAACATATGAGTGGTAAAATAGCTCTTACTGTGGATTGTAATGACATAGTTAATATGATCCATGATGCAACTAGGTACAATGTTTTGGATGTTATTTCAAAATATGTTGATGCACAAGAGTAGAATGATGTAGGTGATCTTGAGTCTTCAAAACAAAATGAGGAAGCTTCTAAATTTCTTAAGCTTTTGAAGGATGCACAACAACTATTATATCTTTGTTGTGAAAACCTCACAAAGTTATCATTGATAGTGAAGTTATTTCAAATTAATCATCTTTATGGTTTAAGTGATTTAGCTATAAATGCCATCCTAAAGTTGCTTAAAGAAGCATTGCCTAGTGGTCACGCATTGCCAGACTCATTACAAATGACAAGCAAAATGATAAGGAATTTGGGTCTTTATTACGAAAAGATAGATGCTTGTGAGAATAATTATATGTTGTTTTGGAAAAAGCATGAAAAAGCTAAACATTGCCTGATTTCTAATCAATCTAGGTGGAAGCAAAGTGAGATTCCAACAAATAATGGACCAAAGCATGAAAAATGTGGCAGGAAGATTCCTAGGAAAGTTCTACATTACTTTGAAAAAAAAAAAAGATTGTAAAAGTTGTTTATGTCAACAAAGATAGTTTTAACATGAGATGATATCATGAACAACGTCTTAAATATAGTGTTATTAAACATTTAGTAGACTTTGATGCATGGAATCTTTTGATTTATCTCACCAAGCATTCTTTAAAGAACCTTGTAACGTTACACTTGGATTTACTTTAGATGGAGTTAACCTTTTAGCAACATGAGTGCCTCACACAGTATTTGGCTAGTGGTTGTTGTTGTATTTAACTTACCTTTTTGGATGTGTATTAAATAACCATTTTGGATGTTATCTTTGTTCATATTTGGTCCCAAAGCACTTGGAAATGATATTGATGTATATATATAGCCCTTAATAGAAGAGTTGAGAAAGTTATGGTATGATGGAGTTGATACATATGACGCTTCAAAAAAGGGAAATTTTTGAATGCATGCTACATTTTTATTAACCATAAATGACTTCCCTACTTATGCTGTGTTGTTGAGATGGAGTACAAAGGGAGCTTTAGCATGCCTTCTATGTAATAAGGGCACTCCTTTTTATAGATTGAAACATGGTCATAAATTTTGCTTCATTGGTGTTTGTCACTTTTTACCCTCTAATCATAAATGGTGCAAGAATAAGGAGCATTTCAATCATAAAGTTGAGAAAAGAGCAACTCCTTCAGTACCATCAAATTTAGTTGTAGAAGCTTCCTAAACTTACTTTCGATAAGAGTGTT